TTTACTGGGAGGGTGATCTGCTTTGAGAATCACAAAAGAGGGGGATGCAGTGATGAGGCTAGGTTCTGGGTAGAGTTGAGGCCTTTCAACAAACAGTAGCTTTTCCCTGGGGCTATTTTGTGAAAAAAACTCACAGCACCCAGCCTGGAGCCATTCTCAGGGTTTCTGTTTTTCAATTGATTGTGGTGGCTGCTAGAGGGAGGGGCAGCCTCTGGCTCTGGTTACCCGGTGAGGAGAGCCACTCCAATGGCTGGCGCCTGAGCTGGGTGACTTTTCCCTGGATGGAACTGAGTCTGTGAGGTCACTTCGCCGTTAAGTTCTTGTGACCTGCTAAATGACTCGTTTTATTCCAAGGCCTGAGCTGGAGCTAGCCGCTCCTCCGAGCTTTGTCGGTATCCAAGATGGAGATCACCGGTGCTGGGTGGGGGGGAGGGGTGGCCTTCCCTCCTCTGCTCCCTGGGAAGGAGTGAGGAAATCGGGCTTCTACTCACGCCGAGTCTTGGATCCTGGGTCGTCTCTGGTCTGCAAAGTGCAGGATGAAGTTGTCCGCTCCTTGTCGGTTCTTGCTGGTGTTGAGTAGAATCCGCTCGCCCGCTGCGTCTGGCTCCTTCGTCCCGGACTCTCTGTGTGAGCGCTCAGGTATGGCCGCGGCTGCGGTCGCCGCTGCGACCCTGCCGCCGCAGCAGCAGCTGCTGGCAGACGCTCAGATGTGTCTGCTTGGCTTCCCCTCTCTTGACTAACTCTCAGGACAGGGTTTCTTAGGTAGTCCTTGAATGTAAAATGTTCATGGTTAAAGATCTGATGAGAAGTCATTACAACAGCGATCCAGTTGGCAAGAAAATTTTGTTATTTCAGTTATGTGTCACTTCTAAAGATTATTACTAGCATTAGGATAGATGGTGGTATACTATCACTAATAGATTTCCATTTATTTCATACAATTTGCAAAGCGCATGTATAGATAATTTATATAGGTATAACTCAAAGTACTTCAGTATTATTTTTATTTGCTAGTTCTTTCCACATAATATACCAAATAAGCTCAATAGTTTAATATTTGTCTTTCTATGAAAAGACATAACATTTTGAGGCACTCCCAGGGTTCTTCTAGAAAAACTCCAAATTAATTTGAGGTTCTGAGAATGACTTACTTTATTTTGATTTGGAGAATCTCACCAAAATATCAAGGTTTAAAACACTTGATTAGAGTAAGATCATTTTATATAATAATCTTTCATTTCTGGGTATGGTAGCTCATGCCTGTAATCCCAACTATTCAGGAATTAGAGTTAAGAATACTGTAGTTCAAGGTTATCCCAGACCAAAAAAAAATAATAACGTTAGTAATACATTAAGAAGCAGCAGATGTAATGCATACCAAGGCATAGGCAGGAAAATGGAGGCCCAGGACCAACTTGTGAAAAACTGTGTAAGACCTTAACTGTAAGGTAACCAGAAGAAAAACACTGGAGACCTTGAGGGCCTGGCAACCCTGAGTTCAAACCATAGTACTGCAAAATAAATAAATAAATAAATAAATAGTTCTTTATTTAACCAACGCCATATTAACACTTCAAAAGCAAGACCAGAATATTACATAATTGTCAAGTAAGCCTATCATTTTTGATAAAGAAGACCTAGTTTCCTTAAGGGTTAAAAACTGAGTAAACATAGAAGGAAGCTCAGGAAATTATCTTGGTAAAACCCAGTGTCTTTGTTTCCTGAGCCAAGTACCTCAAATGCAAAGCAGAACCTCTCACAGTGTCCTATCACAAGGCAGCCAATGCTCCAAGGAAACCTTGCTGTCTTAATAGAGGATCCAATTCTAGTTTTGTAAGGTACTTCAGATGTTAATGTTCAATTTTAAGAAACGCTTGGAAATAATTCCCTGCTAATCTCAGTCAGCTTGGTCATACATTAAGTTCCTTTCCAAGTTTTGATTTCTATAATCCTTCCACACTGTTCTTGGCCATCCAGACTTTGTTCTAAATTTCTCTCTTCTCACTTTACAACAACCAGAATACTCTCAGACAAAATCACACTGTGAGGAGCTGCCCTTTGAGACAGCATGCACTCAAGGAGTCCCATTAATCCATGTGACATTGCAGTGGCTTGCTTCCCAGTGACCACAGGAAATTAGGATCACTAAAGGTTCAACATTCTAATAAAAAAATGAGGGAAGATGGAAGTGGCGCTGTAGCTCAAGTGGTAGAGCGCTAGCCTTGAGCTGAAGAGCTGAAGGACAGCGCTCAGGCTCAGAGTTCAAGCCCCATGACCAACCAAAAAAAAACCTGGTTAAAAAAAAATGAGGGAAGAGGTGACAGTGTTTAAAAAAAAAAACTGTACTAATTACATGACTTATGTAACTGTAACCCCTCTGAATGTCACCTTTACAATAAAAAATTCTAGTCTAGTCAATATATAAATTAAAAGGGCCAGAAGTAAGGGTCATAGGGAAAGCATATGATCAAAGCCCATTATATACATGAAGGAACATAAAGTATGAAATTTGGGGCTCAGCGCAGAAAAAAAAAACCCTGCTCAGTTCAGTCAGAGAGACTGGCACACAAGTTCCTGGACTCCACTTTTAAGAAACAACTTGCCCATGGGCTAGTTTTTGTGTGAGCTCCAAAGGCACAGATCCTGGCTGTCATGTTTTTCTTCCAGTGGTGCGGGTGGGGTCACCTGCAGTCTCATTCACGTTGCCCTCCTGGTGCCAAGAAAATGACAGCACTTACCAAGGCTTTTGGGGGAGAGGGAAAAAACACAACTTGTGAAGTAGGAGCCCCCAGAGCCAATAAAGGTTGCGGGAACTCCACCCAGCAACGCAGGAAGGAGGTGATGTGAGGAGCATCTGCATGTGGACTGTGTAGGGCCTGCAAGGCATCATTCATTATACAAGTAACTCAGTTTATTGTTTGTTGACATATTAAATTAACTTCCAGTTGTTACATAGATATGGAGGCTGTTGTTACATAGATATGGAGGCCGTTTTATGCCAATTTTAATTTGCTTTATCACAGTGGATTAAATTTATAATTTACTAATAAATTAAACCAGCAAAACAATATTGTTAACCTCCTGATAATGTGTATGTAATATTTTTTGGTGGGGGGGGGGAGAAGGGTTTGAACTCAGGGCCTGGGAGATGTCCCTGGGCTTTTTTGCTCAAAGCTAGTCTTCTACCACTTGAACCTCTGTTATGACCTTCCTGCGTGGGCTGCCTTTAAATTGTGATCCTCAGATCTCAGCCTCCTGAGCAGCAAGGTTTACAGTCATAAGCCACCAGGACCCTGCTGTATATATAACATTTTGTGATAAAGTCTGGCTTATGGTGCTCTTACTGACTCAGAATATTTTTTAAGAAAAATACAGACTTAAAATTGTTTAAACTGTATATTGTGTATGTGCAAGACTCCTTTTGTACTCAAGATGGCTATTTTGATAGTATTGAAAAGGAAAACCAATCATTTATATTACTGACATGTTAATTCTCATGTTAGTACTTGTAGCATATTTCAAAATACAAAAAAAAAGCCACTTACATTAGACCCCACTCAGTAGCTAACACTGCGGGATTCTAGCTACTCAGGCTGAGAGCTGAGGATCACAGTTTGAAACCAGCCCAGGAATGAAAGTTCATGACATTCTTATATCCAATTAACCCCCAAAAAGTTAGAAGTAGAGCTGTGGCTCAAGTGGTAGAGTCTTGAGCAAAATAGTTCAGGGATAGTGGACAGGCCCTGGGTTCAAGCTCCAGGACTGGCACACACATACACACACATGTGTACACACACACATGCACATACATGCACGCACACTACTATATAATATATATAGTTGTAATGTTACATATTATAAACTTTATTATTACTGTTGGTATTTTATTGTTACTATTTTGCAGTGTTCATGTTGAAACCTGGACTTATGCCTACTAGGCAAGTCTCACACCTCTGACTTATATCCCTAACCTCAACTCACTATTAATACAGAATAGTCTTTAAGATGTTATTCAAATAGAAAAAGTGCAACAAAAAGCCATGATTTAAAAAAATTATTGTGATTAAGTGATTACATAAATTTCACACATTTCACAGTATTTGGGATAGTGATGCTTAGTTAAAGTCACAAACACATTCTAACCTTCACGGGGCAAATTGTCATTACTGTGGTCTATGAAGTTTGTGAATTCTATGAGCTTTGACAATACAGCTATTTCTTCCACATCAGGTGATGTTTGCGTTTCTTTCCTTTTGTTTCGTGTCAGCTGTTCCCTCTTTCCCTCTCATTCCCTCCCTCCCATCACTGCCCTGGAGTTGCTTAGTTTGTTTTCCAGTCCAGTGCTGCTGCTGGGTCCCACTGTTGTTTCCCCCTGTTTCCCTCTGTTTCTGTGTCTTCCTCCTTACCTCCCTCAGATGTGTGCATATATATACCATATAGGTGGTCAAGAACATGGGGTCATTTAGCAATGGCACAACAAAATGAGTGGAGGTTCTTTGTTTCTCGAGTCCTATTTACTTTGCCGTATCTCCTTGCATTTTGGATTTAACACCCACCTGTCAGGGAGATCAAGTGCCATTTGTCTCTTTGCTCTTGGCTTACCTCACTCAAAATGATTTTTTTTCTAGTTCTAACCATTTCCCTGTGAATGCCATTATTTTTTCCTTTCTAATGGCTGCATAATATTCCATTGTATATAGGTACCACAATTTTTGGATCCATTCATCTGTAGTGAGGCATCTGGGTTGTTTCCATATCTTGGCTAGTGTGAACAGTAAAAAACCATGATTTTAAGTAATTTTTGAAAAAGAGTTGAAAAGAAGGAAAGCAATTGGAGTCTATGGCACCGAGGCTGTTAGAATAACAGTGTATTTTTCTTCCTGTAATTCTCATGTGATTCTCTACATTGCATTGTATCCTCTCTCTGCTTTTCTGTAGTGGATACAAATTAAATGTACATTATTTTATTTTTAAATAAAACTTTTGGTTTTCAATTTCAGGGAACAACCACTGCTATACTGGGACCCACGTTTCAAGATCTGGCCACTAACGTGAACCGCAATATCAGCAGTCTTTCTGAAATATTTGTGGGTCGTGCTTTTGGATATTTGTGTGGCTCTATGATTGGAGGAGTTCTTTTGGACTGTATGAATCAGTTTTTACTTTTGGGTGAGTGAACAGTAATTTTTAATTCTTTGTGCCTGTCACTGAATTTACAACTGGATTCTAAATATGAAAACTTGACAACTGAAATGACAACTGAACTGAATGGTGTTTCAGGGTCCTCCACAGAAGCCAGGTCTCCATGGCCCTCACCTTGGCAGCCACGGGGCATCTGGGCTGGGCCACCTGGAGCTTTGATTAGCCCTCAGGTGTGCTGAGGGCAGTTCTGAGCCTCCGACCAGTCCATGTCACACACTTGTCCCAAAGCTCTGCCCATCAGGTGTAGGACAGATATCTAGGTGTGTCTGGAGCCAGATGAGTCTGGGAATGTGGCCAGGCTCTCTGGACTCTGGGTTGACAGTGCGGGGCAGGAGATGGTGATGCACTGACACAGGCTGCACATTTGTCCTCCTGTTAGTGATGAGACTGGTCCTTGTGCCACAGTCTAGAGGATTTTGACATGCTGGCAATGGTTTTAATATGCTGTGGTTTGAATAGAGTGACAGGTTTCAAGAAAATTTAGATTAATGTGAATTGGACAGGGAAATAGTTCATGCCAATTAATGAGTAAGTAATCCCTCTTACTTTCAAAGTGAGTTGAAGGAAATATGCATGCATGCATGCATACATACATACATACATAGGTACTTATGAAAAAGTTTTGCTATCTTGGATATTAAGCCTATGACCTGGTGCATACTCAAGTAGCATGTTAAACAATATCCCCAGGCCAAAAATATATGTCATATATTTCCTTCCCTACTCTCCATTTCTTTTTGAATTTGAATTTGATTTTAATCGGGAACTTACACATTTAAATTTTTATTGAGATGATATTTCTACATTCTTATGTAATATGATAATTTGATTTATTGTACAAATTATAACGATCATATCAGGACAATAAGCATTTCCATAACCTCAAATAATAATCATTTCCAAGTGTTGGGAACTTTTATTAGATTTTTCTTTTCTAATTAGTTTTGTGAACAATAATTAACCTGATGAGCTGTAGCAAACAGGAACTAATTCCTCCTAACTGAATTTCTCTACCCCTTATCTCACTTGTTTCTGTCTCCTCATCCCTGCTTTTTTTTTCTGATCTCTAGCAACCAATGATTCCACTATTCCATACTGTTTTAGTGTCCAAACCTGAGTGTGAACACATGAAACTGGTCTGTGTCTGACTTACTTCACATAATGATGTATGTGCATCCATCTGTATAGCTTCAAGGGACAGAACTGCATTATTGTATACAGATGAATACTATTTGATTGATTGATTGATTGTGTGTGTGTGTGTTTGTGTGTACAGACAGATCACATGATGTCCTCATTTTTCAAGGACTCACCATCCTATTTTCCATAGTAGAAGGAAAAGGTATAAGAGCTTGCACCTAGAAATGCCAGTTTAGCTGGGAAGGTGGTCAGTGGTAGAGTGCTTTGTCTCCCTTGCATGAGGACCTGGATTTGATTCCTCAGCACCACATAAACAGAAAAAGCCGGAAGTGGCGCTGTGGCTCAAGTGGTAGAGTGCTAGCCTTGGCTGAAGAGCTGAGGGACAGCACCCAAGCCCAGAGTTCAAGCCCCACAATGGACAAAAAAAAAAAAAGAAAAAAAAAGAAAAAAGAAATTCCAGTCTAGTGACCCTCAAATCTACCTATTTTGATAAAATCTCATTAGTCCATTTTTACTTTTCTTTCCTGTGCTTTTGGAGTTGTATCCAGAAAGAAATATTCGCCTATGCCTCTCCATATTTCTTTTTTCTAATTTTTATTTTTATTTTTATTGTGAAAATACTGTACAGAGGGGTTACAATTATATGGGCATGATAATGAGTACATTTCTTATCAAGCATTGTAGCCTCCTCCTTTGTTTCCCCTTCCCATCCCTTCTCATTCCCCCCCTTAAATCCCCCCCCCCCACCATCGGCCAAAGTTGTAAAGTTCGTTTTTCGACATAACAACTTGTACATCTCATTGTTGCAATGGGACCATCTGTATCCCTATTTAAACGATTTGTTTTGTCCTTCCCCTCCACAAATTATACCGACATCAAATACAATGAAAGCAGGGGTTATACCGTGTAAAGCTTTTCGACATAACGTCTTGTACGTCTCACTGTTCCTAACAAATGGGGCAATGTTATTCTTTCTGATGGAGGCATAGAATTCCATTGTGTATATATACCACATTATCTTGATCCATTCATCTACTGAGGGGCATCTGGGTTGGTTCCATATCTTAGCTATGGTAAATAATGCTGCAATAAACATAGTTGTGCTGGTAGCTTTAGTATCATCTTGCTTGTGATCATTTGGGTAAATGCCCAAAAGTGGGATTGTTGGGTCATAGGGGAGCTCTATGTGGAATCTTTTGAGGAACCTCCATACTGCTTTTCAAGGTGGTTGAACAAGTTTACACTCCCACCAACAATGCAGTAAGGTTCCCTTCTGTCCACATCCCCTCCAGCATCTGTTGTTATTAGAGTTCTTGATTATAGCCATTCTAACTGGGGTGAGGTGGTATCCCAATGTTGTTTTGATTTGCATTTCTTTTATGGCTAGAGAGGTTGAGCATTTCTTCATGTGTCTATTGGCCATTCTTATTTCCTTTTCAGAGAAGTTTCTCTTTAAGTCTTTAGCCCACTTATTTATTAGGCAGTTGTTTCTTTGAGGATTTGTTGTTGGGGGGGGAGTTAATTTTTTGAGTTCCAGATATATTTTAGATATGAGACCTTTGTCTGTTGTATGGCTAGTGAAGATCTTCTCCCAATCCGTGGGCTTTCTATTGATGGTGCTAGTTATTTTTTTGCTATGCAGAAGCTCTGCAATTCCATGCAATCCAATTTGTCCAACTTTCTTTGATTTGTTGTGTTTCTGGGTCTCTATTAAGAAAATTTCAAGTTCAGGCTCCATGACTAGACCCCCCCCAAAAAAGAGAAAGAAAAAGAAAATTTCATCCTGCTCCAGGGAGACCTAGGGTTTCTCTTATTCCTTCCTGTAATGTTTTCAGGGTGTCTGCTTTTACTTTGAGGTCTTTGATCCATTTGGAGTTGATTCTGGTGCAGGGTGATATATAAGGATCTAGCTTTAGTTTTCTACAGGTGATTAACCAATTTTGCCACCACCATTTACTGAAGAGGTTGTCTTTCTTCCATTCTGCTTTTTTAGCTCCCTTATCAAAGATTAGGTGGCTATAAGTCTGTAGGTTCATTTCTGGGTTTTCAATTCTATTCCATTGGTCCTGAGGTCTCTTGTGCCAGTACCAAGCTGTTTTGATTACTATAGCTTTGTAGTAGAGTTTGAAATTTGGTATTGATGTTCCTCCAGAATTGTTCTTTCTGTTAAGGATCTTTTTTGCTATTTGGGGTCTTTTTATTGTTCCATATGAATTTTTTGATTGCCTCTTCTATTTCCCTGAAGAAATTCTATTTCCTTGAAGAATATTGATAGGTATCGCATTGAATTTGTAGATTGCCTTTGGCAGTATTGCCATTTTCACCATGTTGATCCTTCCAATCCAGGAGCATGGGAGGTTTTTCCACTTTCCAAGTTCTGTTTTGATTTCCTTTTTCAGGTTTTTAAAGTTTCCATCATAGAGGTCTTTTACTGCCTCTCCATATTTCTTATTTAATTTTTTTAAAAAAACTGCTATACAAACCACTTCTTTTGCCTTTCTAATCAGTTTATGGTATATCTAAGAGTTCCTTAGATGTTTACCAAAGTATGAAACATTTACATATGCAACGTTTGGAAGGCTTCTTTTGCTATAAAAATTATGTAACAAAGGTAAAATGCCTATGTATACCTGATCATTTAAATGATATTTATTAAGATGAATTCCAGGAAATGGAAATGAGTTTTTCCCCTTTCTTGCTGTTTTTCTTCTCTTCTCTTTTCTTTTCTCTGTCTTTGGGAGGGTTAAGATGGGCAGAGAAATGAAGAGACAAAGGAACAAATGCAGCAGGGATACTCACTAGACACTATGTTGACAAATAACTACAACTTGTGGGTAGGGATGGGAGGGAAAAACTAAGAGATAGTGAGGGAAGGGGTGACAATGTCCAAAAAGAAATGTACTCATTAACTAACTTATGTAACTGTAAGCCTCTGTATACCACCTTTAATAATAATATTTTTTAAATTTAAAATGTGTTATAATTTGTAATAGCGATAGAATGTACTGTCACAGTTTTTGGGCGACATAAACATTTTAAAAGATTTAAATGATAAAAATCACTTGAATCAAATTCTTGAGATTAATTAGTTTTAATTTGGCCTTATTTTGCATCTTCGTACATCTTTAGGATATTGACCCATGAACTTGCATGTGAACAGATCTCATGGCTGACTTTCTTCCTCTCCTTCCCAGGGCTTTCCATGCTAGCGACTACAGTTGGTCTTTATCTCACTCCCTTTTGCAAGCAAGCAGTACTGCTGATTGTCATGATGTCTGTCTTCGGGGTTTCATTTGGTGCTCTGGATACAGGTCAGTGAGCCTTCAGTGTCTCCTCCAGACCAGGACACTACTGCAGGGAAACAGAGCTGGTGAAATGACAACATCATTTACAATGCTCTTGAAATGACACAACTCTCCAAGCTGATCATGGGCACCCAGTCAGAAGGACTCAACTTGCCATTTGAGGTGCCAGTTTTTTTTAAAATAATTATGAAGTGAATTTAGAAGATTTTTCTTTGTGTTCATTTTATAGTATTTGGACAGGGAAGAACCTTAAAACTCAGGGTATTTATAGTGCAGGAAAGAGTGAGAGGTTCCATTGGGAGAAAGGATTTGAGCATCATCAGTAAGAAGAGTTAATGGATTAGAAAGATTAAACAAGTGTGAAACCACTATTTGGCTACAAAAGCATAGAGGCTGCCATCTGGTTAGAAATACACACTGGCCAGGCACTGGTGGCTCATGCCTCTAATCCTAGCTTAGGAGGCTGAGATCTGAGGATCTCTATGGAAGCCAGCTCCAGCAGGAAAGTCTGCTCTAATTAACCATCCAAAAGCCAGATGTGGAGCTATGACTTAATGGTAGAGAGTGAGCTTTGAGTGAAAACCTCAGAACTAGCACACACACACACACACACACACACACACACACACACACACACGCACACGCACACGCACACGCACACATACACACAAGCGTACTCTGGTTTTTTGCCTAGAGAAGCCTGTGCTCTATACAGCCTTGTGCTTTCCTTTCTCAAAAGTTCCTGACCTCGGCATTAGATAGTCTCTAGGTACCATCATATATTTGAAGATCTGCTAAATAACATATATGTTATTTGTTCACCCCCATTCAAGCTTTTTGTCCTGGTTTTGCTCTAATGTTATTTGAGATATCAGGGAACTGTTTTATATTTTAGGTTATGTTTAGTTGCCAAATGGCAAAGGGAGAATTATGTACTCATTTGAAATTATCTTACAAAAGAGCCAGCCAAAGATTTGATGCTTATTTCCTGCCACAGGCACATCTGGGCTTTACAGGTTCTGAATTTTTTCTTTAATACAAATACAAAACAAGTGACAGGGTTGGGAAGGTGGCTCAGTGGTAGAGCACTTGCCTTGCATGCATGAGGCCCTGGGTTCGATTCCTCAGCATCACATAAGCAGAAAAAAAAAAGCCGGAAGTGGCGCTGTGGCTCAAATGGTAGAGTGCTAGCCTTGAGCTGAAGAGCTGAGGGATAGCACCCAGGCCCAGAGTTCAGGCCCTATGACCAGACCCCAAAAAAGAAAAAAAAAATACAAAACAATCACTATCTGATGATAAGATTTTGCCGAATAAACATATATTTAAAATACAAAACATGTATATAAATTCTGTTTCCCAGAGTAATGTTAGCAATGTTTCATTTTAAAAAGCCCTACTTAGCTGGGCACAGTGGCTCATGCCTGTAATCCTAGTTACTCAGGAGGCTGAGATCTGAGGATCAAGGTTCAAAACTAGCCTGAGCAAGAAAGTCCATGAGACTCTTATCTCCAATAAACTACTCAGAAAACCAGAAGTGGTGCTGTGGCTTAAGTGGTAGAGTGCTTACCTTGAACTGAAGAGCTGAGGGACAGCACCCAGGCCCAGATTTCAAGTCCTACCACCACCACCACCAACAACAACAAAAACCCTTACTAATGAGCCTACCAGAAGTAGGTACATCCTGTAGAATTCAGGGAATGCTATCTTGACACATACTGTTCTCTGGTGTGAGTAGGTAGAGTTCTTCAATCCCGAAATAGAATCTACTTAGAGCCAGTGTCTAAATAACTCAGAACAGTATGGTGCTTATGTCATGTAATTACAGACTCATCCTCTTTCTGGAAATTATGAAATGTTTTATCTCAATGTTGCTATGTGTAACTTAAACCTTTCTCTGTGTCTCTTTGCTAGGTGGGAACGTGCTCATCTTGGCTCTTTGGGGGGACAAGAGCCCCCCCCACATGCAGGCCTTACACTTCAGTTTTGCCCTGGGCGCCTTCCTGGCTCCCCTGCTGGCTAAACTGGCGCTGGGCCCCACAGTGTCTGCTGACAACCACACAGAGCCCGACTTTCTCCCTGCAGCCCTCAATGCCTCTTCTGAAGCCGCCTCAGACCCTCTACTCGCAGCTCCCCATGACATGAACTTACTGTGGGCTTATGCTTCCATAGGCACTTACATTCTCGTAGTTTCTCTCCTTTTCTTTGCTCTGTTCTTCATGAGAAGCTCAAGGCAGGGAAAATCAACAGCCTCTGCTCAGCAATCTCAAAGAGCTCAATACCACAAGGCCCTTCTCTGTCTGCTTTTTCTGTTCTTCTTCTTCTACGTGGGGGCTGAGGTGACATATGGCTCTTACCTTTTCTCCTTTGCCACCACCCATGTTGGCCTGGACGAGAGAGAAGCAGCTGGCTTGAACTCCATCTTCTGGGGGACCTTCGCAGCCTGCAGGGGCCTGGCAATCCTCTTTGCCGCGTGTTTACGCCCTGCCACCATGATTGTGTTGAGCAACATTGGCAGCCTGGCCTCCTGTTTGTTTCTGGTGCTTTTTGACAGGAGCCCCCTTTGTCTCTGGATAGCAACCTCCGTGTATGGGGCCTCCATGGCCACCACGTTTCCCAGTGGTGTTTCTTGGATTGAGCAGTACACCACCATCAGTGGCAAATCTGCTGCATTTTTTGTGATTGGTGGTACTCTGGGAGAAATGGCTATTCCTGCAGTAATTGGAATTCTTCAAAGGCAATACCCAGATTTACCAGTAGTTCTGTACATCTGTTTGGGGTCAGCAATATGCACTGCTATTATATTTCCTGTGATGTATAAACTAGCTACCTTGCCTTTGAACCACCACAGAAAAAGAAACAGAAAGAACGAAGACCAGAAAGCATTGCCGTCTAGTTTTGGGTTATAAAGGAACAAGCTGAGGGCCCAGTGGCTCAGGCCTCCATCCAAGAGTAGCTACAGTCCTAGTTACTCAGAAAATTGTGATCCAGGATCACAGTTCAAAGCCAGGCCTGGCAGAAAAGTCCAGAGTTGTACATGAACCATCATTGTGCACAAACCACAATCTCTTGTCATGAGTCTCCCTTGGCATGTGGCTGGTTAGGTATTCTTGCATTGTATCCAGCATTAAGAGCATTGGATGAAGGCATTTGTGGTTGAGAACTGGTGGTGCTAGAGAGGAGTGGAGTTGGATTTTCTAAGTAAATGATTTGGCATCCTTGTTCTGCCTGAGAACTGGGGAGAACAGTTTCATGAAAGAGTGTCCTAGTAAGGGACAGATTATTTTTTAACTCAACACAGAGTTAGACTAAGGCATAAGGGCTAATACTAAGGGCTCATTTTAAAATTTTTCTATAAGAATACTTAAGAGGGCCTAAAAGACCTGTCTTGAAGATGTGACTCTGCCATGTAGGGCTACACTGCAGACCTTATTCTACAGTAATTTGTCTAATTTTTACTGATCTGTGATCCTAGAAATCAAAATGAGTTGATTCGCAAGTAGAAAGCCTAAAGTTTTAAAGTTTGTGTAAGATGTCTGTTACAGCAGCCTCTTCTTTTCAAATGGAAATGTAACTAAAATGATCATCGTCTTTTAGATGATGGTGCTGATAGTGAATGCATGTCAAATTAATCTGCATAATGTTTAATTCATTCTCACAAATGATTGTCTGAAAAACGCAGTAACGGTGATGCATTTCACTCATGCAGAGTATACCTTTCCCCATAATTATAACATGGCTGAAACAGGACATATCCCACAATCAATCAATGATCATGTAACATCATGACAAAATTATACATGTGAAATTCACGCACATATTTAAAATAACTACACTCAATATCTTAAGCTAACAAAATAGTAACTCTTTCGATTATGGAGATTATAATGTTTGATTCACAATTTTTGTGTTAGTTATTTATTTGCTTGTTCATTTTGGGACAGGGTCTCAACTCTTAGGCAGTACTTCCACCTCAGCCTCCTAACTTCCTAGGACACCAGAGTTATATGCCTCAGTGATGGAAGGAAAAGAGTTTGTAGATGTAATTGTTCTCCCTAGATATGTTCAAAGGGGATTTAGTTACACATTAGAAGCTATTATGGAGTTATTACATTAGTCATAGAGCTATAGATGGGTCTCTTGGGGCCCCTGGTCTACCTCAATAAAGATAATGAGTCTGAGAATTATTGTTTCAACGTCCCATCCTTATTATTACTATGTTTTTCTTTGTCGGTCATGGGGCCTGACTCTGGGCCTGGGCTCTGTCCCTCAGCTCTTCAGCCCCACTTTCGGCTTTTTCTGCTTATCTGGTGCTGAGGATCAAACCCAGGATCTCATGCATGCAAGGCAAGCACTCTACCACTGAGCCACCTTCCCCATCCTTACTATTTTTGAGTGTTAATAAGTACTTGGAAATAATAATATACACATTTATACACAGAGACACCTACACACACACAGGAACACACCACGTTTAAAACCCTCTGAATGAACATACTCCACAAGTATAACAAGACTACAAGTTCAGGTGAAATACTTCCTTCTGTTACCCACCACCTGGGGATCCTCCCTGAGTTTGAAATACCAGGGACCCCTAAGGAATGATGAGAATGTATTAGTGGCCTAGAAGTCAGGGAGCGGGCACCTCCAATGAATATCCCAAACTGGAGTGATCATCCTTTGATAAATGGCTAGAACTGATGACAGATTTGATTTACTTCCTCGCAAGTTTTATGCCGAATGACATTGAATTTCTGTCTGATTGGACTATGTTTATTCTCTCTTATCTAGTTTCTATAAATTCAATTTTATTTAAACATTGCTTTGGTTTGTCTTAAGTGAAACACAGCACCTTTCTTAACACTGACCATTTTATTTACCTGATATGTCTACCACATATTTATTCTTATTAAAAAAATGATGGGGCTGGGAAGGTGGCTCAGTGGTAGAGCACTTGCCTTGCATGCATGAGGCCCTGGGTTCGATTCCTCAGAACCACATAAGCAGGAAAAAAAAGCCGGAAGTGGCGCTGTGGCTCAAGTGGTAGAGTGCTAGCCTTGAGCTGAAGAGCTGAGGGACAGCACCCAGGCCCAGAGTTCAGGCTCCACGACTGGACCCAAAAAATAAAAATAAAAAAATTAAAAATAATTAATAATAAAAATGAAAAAAGAACACTATTGGCTTTGGAGAGGACAAGTGGAAGAACTGACAGAAAAATCCTCTTGTTTGTACACTGTGTTTCTCCATTAGCTAGCAATTGGAAATTACCTCTGCTGCATTTACTGCTTTGCCTTGAGCTGCTGGGTCTTAGGCAGTGGCAGTTATTGAATCTTATGAAGCTTGTAAAACAGAATTCTACTTTCCTCTATTTTTAGAGTGTAAAAGGTGGAGCCCAGGGAGAGATGCATGGTCCTAAGAATATAGCAAGATTGAGAAATGCACACTGAAAAATTCTCCCAGATTCCACAAACCACCATGGAAGTGGCCATTGCATTATGTTTGTCACAAGCTTCTAGCCAATGCCAGTTTGCTGGTCTTCAGACCACACTTTGGGAAGGGAACCCATCTTTAGGGAATGTAGAATGTAGAATATATTGTGACTTATTTTGTTTTACCATTATACATCTGGCTCGATTATATTCTTAGGTATGTACACTCTCTGCATTCCCTCTTTACACACACACACACACACACACACACACACACACACACACACACAGAGGCACACACCACATATAAAGCATGTACAGCTGAGCGCCGGTGGCTCGTGGCTGTATCTAACTACTCAGGAGGCTGAGATCTGAGGATCCGAGTTCAAAGGCAGCCCAGGCAGGAAAGTCCATGAGACTCTTATCTTTAATAAACCACCAGAAAACTAGAAGTGGCACTGTGGCTCAAGTGGTAGAGCACTAGCCTTGAGCTGAAGAGCTGAAGGACAGCACCCAGGCCCAGAGTTCAAGCCCCACAACCAACAAAACAAAAAAAAAAATGTGCAAACAGGCTCAAGTGCTGTTAACTGGTTACCTCGTACCAGGCCTAGTGGTACATCTTGTCATACAATGCTCAGGAAAACAGTCAGAGGACTGCAAGTTTGAAGCCACTGTGAACGACATAATAAAGTTCTATCTCAAACAAACAATAAACAAAATCTGTGCCTTTAGTCTTTTTCACTTACCCCATGGACTGTTGGTCAATGTACTCGGACGTATGTTAGGTACCTTTTCTTTGGAAGTCTCTATGGGAGAAACCATGTAAACACTGCTAAGAAGATGAGGGGGTTTTTGCCCTTAGTAAGCTTCTCCTTCTGTCCAGTGGAAGTTTCTGGAATGAGGAATATGGTCTATATCTATATTGCCTATTAGTGCTACTGGCCACATTTGGGTTAAGTGTAGCTGAGAGCATTTTAAAAGTGGTTTTAAAAAGTAGTGTCTTACCCTGAGATACCACCTTACCCCAGTCAGAATGTCCCACATCCACAAATCAGCCAACGACAAATGCTGGAGGGGATGTGGAGAAAGAGGAACCCTATTACACTGCTGGTGGGAATGTACACTTATACAACCACTTTGGAAAGCAGTCTGAAGGGTCCTTAGAAAGCTAAAGATTGACCTCCCTTACGACCCAGTCATACCACTTCTAGGCATCTACCCTGAACAACAGGAACCAATATACAAGGACACGTGCACCTCCATGTTTATTGCAGCACTGTTCGCAATAGCTAGGATATGGAAACAACCTAGGTGCCCCACCACAGATGAATGGATCCAAAAATTGTGGTATCTATACACAATGGAATATTATGCAGCCATTAGAAATGACAAAATAATGGCATTTGCAGGGAAATGGATGGAGCTAGAAGGAATCATGTTGAGCGAGGTAAGCCAAGAACGAAGAGACAAACGGTACATGGTCTCCCTCATAAGTGGATGCTAAATCCAAAAGGTTAGGTGATATGACAAAACTAACAGGACTCAAGAAACAAAGAACTCCCGCTCATCTGGTTGAACCACTACTAAATATCCTCATGCTGCTGATCACAAATATGGTATATAACATGTGAACACTGTTATATATTACAGACTGTGGTAGACAATTTGCTCCAGGGAAGTTAGAATGAACTTGTGACTTTGAAATTATGTAATCATTTAATCACAATCAAAAAAAAAAAAAAAAAAAAGAACCTTGGGGAAGGTAGGGAGGGAGGGGATGGTAGGGGGAAAACAATGGAGGGGGTAACAATGTTCAAGAGGAAGTGTACTCATTACCTCACTCATGTAACTGTAACCCTCTGTATAGTAGCTTTACAATAAAAAAAAAAAAAAAAAAAAAAAAGTAGTGTCTTCCTTGGCTAGTGGCTGCTGTATTGGAGGCCAATGTGAGACATGCGGAATCAAATATTAACAACCAAAGGTGTTTCAGGGGTGATTTATTTCCTGTTATTCTGAAAATGAGCAGGTTATCTGGGGTCAGAATTTTGAGTCGATAGCTTTGTTAAATGTTAGGCATACTATCAATTGTTATAGTCCTTGAGGAAGGTGTAGATTTCAGAGATCATGCTAGTAGACAGAGTGCTGGCTGGGCCTTTCTGCCCTACCTCGACAGAAGTTATGAACCAGGAGGTGATGAGTGACTCCTCCAGTGATTCCAGTCTTCGGTGGGTATTTGCAGGTGGTGTCGGCGGACAGCCCCAGTGGGCTCTGGGCTCTGCAGCCACGGCTGCCCCACAGGAATGGATTCTTGGGGGTTGGATAAAGCACTTAAGAACGAGAGGAGTGGCACAGGTACAGGGACTGTGCTGACAGTAGGGTGGTGGCACTGCACTCAAGTCTCAGGTTTGGGGCTGAAGCTCTAAGTGCTAAGTGTTACAGCTTCTGTGCCCCAGATAGAGACCTTCCCATGTGTGCATGTGCCTGAGTGCGCCTGTGTGTAATATGTTTGTGTGAAGCGGGGTGGGAGGGGAATGCCCATGGCAAATTCCAACCTTCTGGAAGCTTTACTTCCGAGTTGCCCTGACTCTCCTGGGTAGAAGCTTCCTTTTGGCCTGTAGCCACTGTGTTGCCTTGCAGGTACTGTGCTCTCCGCCCTCATCCTGTCAGTTCCTCCAGTGGATCCGCTGTAATCGCCTGAGGCCATTCTAGACCTGAGCTGCTCCTCTACAAGGTTGCCTCAGGGAGCTCTCTTTCTTCCAGGTGAAGAAAATTCATGTTACCAGTGGAGCAAAGGCAGGCAAGACTCTTCAGTCTTTACAGGGACCTCAAGTGAGGAAGGTCAGGAGGATGTCTCCCATCTGCTTACGAAATGAATTTACAACGCGATTTCCTCAGCCAGAGGAGTGATAGTGAAGCCTTGGTTTGCACCAATTACAGAAGTTCCTTATGTAAATGAAAGGCTGCGTTTACACCAATTACATGTCTTCTGTTGGACCACCAGGGGAAGTACTCCTCCCACCTGCTGGAAAGGGATGCAAGATCATCTAGGGCTGGCAAGATTTTTAGTATCAAAGAGACCAGGGCAGGATGTGTTTCCTGAGATAGTGCCTTCAGGAGTCAGAAGTGTGCTTGGTGTGTGGCCTTGTCAATACATCCACAGAATGGTGAAAGCAGCTGGTGCTGGAATGAAGGCGGTCCGCTTGGCTGCCTACCTGAGAGTCCTATACTCAAGATAGCCAGGGCCCTAA